TTAATGTTACTATATTTTTCTCGGATTTGAAGTTTGGAATTGCTGGAGAAACTGATGCCTCACTTTTTAAACACCAGTTCTCACTGAAAATTAGCCAGATGAAAAAACTCCATTTCATAAAACCTTTGTGTTAAAAAGGAGGAAATATAAATTATTTGCATTGTATTTACATTTTTGCTCTTATTTTATCAAAATTGCAGTGAGCGAAATTTTTAAGAAGTGCCTTTCAACTGAAAAAGATGATAGTAAATGTCTTCTAATTTTTTTTTTCTGAAGATTATGTGCCTGGGAAAAGAGGACTTTGCAGTAGAAATAGCAACAAAGGCAGTAAAAAATAAAATAAAATTATGATGTTGCTGATATCACTTCTCTGTACTTAGATTATGTATAGTTTTGCCCTAAAATAATTCTTATTATTATTTTTCACCCATTTTTTCACCCATAATATAAGATAGAGAAGGTATAACAGGACATTATATTCTCTTATATAAATCACATTATTGTCCTTTCAGATGTCATTCCTAAGGTCTCATTAAGATTTTTAATGGAAGTGAAATTTTTACATCTCCTCATATCTAATACTTGCTCTCGGATTCCATACTTGATGCACATAGGCCCTGATCCTGTATAAACCAAAATGTGTATTATTATGTGTAAGCACACTGAGTAGTTCTCTTCATTATTATGCTCTTGTAGTTTGGACTTAAGCAGCTAATAGTGATATTACACAATCATTATTCTCAGTATTACTTAGGACTGCACGAAATGTAAACCTAATGTAATCATCTTGATTTACATCTTCCATTCATATCTCGAGTTAAATAATGCACAATTATAATAATTTAAGGGTCAGAATGGGTAAATATTTAACTGAGTATCAGAAAAAAATGAGAAAGGCAGTTGCTGTAGTCTAAAAATCCATGTAATAACGAGGTGAGCATTGCATTCTCTGTCTGTAGCATCTGGGAGAGGGTCATCAGTTTGTTTCCTCAGTGACTAGTGAAGCCAAAAAGTCACAGCAGGAAGACAGCTGAGGACATAAGGGAGAGAAAGGGATTTTGAGTCCCACCAAAAGTGATGTCAATTCTTTAGGTCAAATTTCCATTCCAAAAACTTGGGCCCATCATAATGGTGGCAGTCTTATCTGCTGTGGTAGCAAACATGAGGTTAAGCTGCAGTTTTCTATAATCGACTCCTTTCCTGGTACAGCTCCCATTACAGCAGTGCCTGAACAACTCCTAATAGTGCCTGTCCTCTGTTACAGATTCCTCTCCTTAGAGTGTCATTATATTGTCAGAGAATCTCCTCATACTGTAATAAGTGGCATGACCAGCATTTGTCATATTGCTGGTTCTCTTGATGCCAGAGGAAGGAGGGTGTGCAGTTGAATGTTTTCAGTTTATTTTATCTGTCTTTTCTTCCATATAGGTGTTATGTATTTATGTTAGTGAGGCAAGGTCAAAGTAATGCATTTTGTTCTTCAAGCAAAACACAGTTAGGTTTCTGATGGCCCTTAGCTCCCAGGCACATTCATTCCACAGACTTGCACCAGCCTTCAGAAAGTTCTGTCTCCAGAAATGGGAGCTCTTTCCCCCTTGTTGCACAAGTTCTGTTACGTCAGAGGAGGGAAACTGATGACAATTGGAACCAGTCTAGAGACCTAGTATGCATTTCTTTAGGAATCCTGGACTTAGGCCCTGGAGGAACTTGAGACCCTGCATTTGTAATTTAAAACTCTAGAGAAAATCAGTATAGATTGGAAGAGAGGGGCTTACTGTAACCCACATTGCTGAGATGACATCCCCCCAGCTTCCTGTGCTTGGAGTTTCCTGTATGTAGCAGAGTGTGCTTGGGTATACTTAATTACCTAGGTCCAGTTGTTGAGAGGTGGCAAAACCAAAGCCAGGTACTCATCTGCCAAAGTGGCACAGAAGCTCATAGCTAGTCAGGGATGATTAGAAAGCTGGAGGCTGTCTTCTGACTCAGACACACATTACTTTACAAATTACCTTGCTATGTGTTTCTAAGATTTATTTTGCAACGATGAGGATTAGAGGAATTTGTTGTAATGAAAACTGGCATTGTGTCATTACTGTGTAACTAGTTAGATTCTTTGGCTTGCCTGGGTACTTTTACTTTCATCTGGTCCAGTTCCTATGTAAGTTAGACCAGTTGGAGGGCACCAAGATACACCCACATGTAGTATTTATAGTGATCTTTCCAATAATGGCACATCTACCTATTATTTTGGTATTCTGTGTTTGTATGGCATATGGACATACAGCCAGTGGGAATTCCAAATATTTTTCTATTTGTTTTTCTAATTTGAGCCTGGCTTGCCTCTGATGCTTGTCCAGCCTTCTAGATCCCTGTTATAGATTTATCTAAGCCTCCCTTCAGACCTCTTCTGAACATTTGGTATCAGTTGATGTTTAAAGTTTCAGTTTAATAGCCTAGTAATTGTAGTTGAACATTCTCTTTCATGTATGAGTTTTCGACTTCTTTCTGTAGCCATTCAGTCTCTGATTTACCCTGACAAATATAGGATTTGGAATCCATTACTTTTGCAGTTTCAGTCTGCTAGCAATGATAAAGGTTGTAATCTAGAAAGGACTGAAGTAGGCACCAGTTACTATTGTACAGTGAAAACAGAGTTCTGAATTTGCCAGTATAGACCTGGTCTAGGGATGCTTCTGTAGGCAGTAAGGACTGCAAGCAGTATGTACTGGCTTAGGACTTGCATCTGCTTTATTAGATTTCCTATAAACTTCCTGGTGAAAAAAAAAGAAAAACCCATAGCTTGCTTTTTTTTTTTTTTTATTGTAGACTACCTCCTGATTTTTCAATAGCCAACTTTCAATTTAATTTTTTTTGCAGCCTTTTTTGCTTAATGTAGCATAAAGACTAATAGTGTAGTCGAAAGGTTGGATTTACTGTATTTCGTTCAGGTCTTACAATATTGACTAACATAGCTATAGGCCTGACTCATAATAATGAACATATCCCTGAGGATTTAAGAGAGATTTGTTATTAAACTTAGGTTCCGTGGTAAAAGTTTTGCTAAAGTGGCCTAACTGCAACTTCTAAATGCTTTAATAGTTTTGTGGATTTCATGGTTGTGAAAAGTGCTGGCTTGGTATCTGTGAAAACTGAAGCCCATTCTTTATTCATGGATTAATTACAGCAGAGCAGTTGCCAAGTGATCTTCTCCACAGCACCCATGAACTTCAGACTTGAACCGAAGAGGACTCATCAAATGGTGAGGAAATAGTGTGGCTGTCGTGACTATTAAGTTATCGAGGGGATGCTCTATTTCTTTTTAGCATTGCTTCTGTTATTTAGTAAGTATTGATGTTAGATTTTTGTAGGGTGATAAGCTGGGACCGTAACCCTCCCCCAGTACTTCAGCTGTTAATTTCTCAAGCTTTGCTATCTTCTTAGCTGTCCTTGACTTTTCAAAAATAATTGTTAGTGATACACTGTATTCATTAGCTAATTTCATTATTACTTGCTTTAGCCATAGTCCTATGCATGTGCTTAACTTTGTTCACGGGTAGTTTTATCAGTAGCACTGCTTAGAGGAGTGAAGTTCAGATATGTGGAATTGTTTGAAAGATTGAAGCTTAAACTTTGCAGATAGGTATGGTTGCATTTAAATGAAATGCTACTGAAATGAATGCAGGAGTGAGGGATCTGGAAATGCTTTAGCTAGTACTAATTTGTTTGCTTTTATGCTGTTCAGTTTATTTCTTTTAAGACAGCTTGGTGTTATGTCGTTCATTGGCTTCTTTAGTTTCCCAATTTCTGGGAAATTTTGAAATCTGAGGTTCAAAACATTTATAAAATTTTAGTAATGCTTGTAATTCTCCTGAGAAGAACAAACCATTATTTTATTTAACCATTTTATGAAAAGGTGACTGCATCTATAGAGAAACGAATTCTATCTCTAACTCACTACCTTAATCAGGTCTTTAATCTTACTCCAGTGCCCTACCTTCATTAAGTAATCATTCTTATATGTATGGATTTATTAAGCATGCATCTTAAAAACAGGGAGTTCCCTTTTTTACAGCTATAGATAAAGGATAGAATATTGATAGCAGGGGGTCGTGTGTGTAAGAATATAGCTGTTGAGTGTTGATACTTTTTTATGGTCATTTAGTTCGGTGACAGCTTAAAATAATGGTGCACAGAATGATGCATAGTTCAGGAGACAGATCACAATGATCAGAAGTTCACAGGATGCTGAGAGATGCCCCAGACCTTTTTTGGTATCTCAAAAAGTGCCTCAATTTCTGTTTTCCTTTAGTAACTGTATTGTAGAAGGAGTAAAAGGGACAGAACTCTGGTAGTGGCTTATGATTTCCACATTTTCTCCTATCTCTAGTTACCATAGAGATTGGAAGATGGGATATTAACCCTCTCCCAGCTATTTACCACATTGATTTTGGAAGTGCAAGTGTGTTTAACTAGGCAGCAGAGATGGTGAGCCCTTTATACCAGTAACTGAACTACACCCTCTGTTAAGAATTACTTTAGTACTGTTATCAACCACTGAACTAATTTAACCTTTGGCAGAGTTATTTACCATTTTGTGTATTAAAAATAAGATTTAATATTTAAGCCAGAAAGAAGGCACAGTTTTCAGGCAGAGTGCATTGAGATACAACTCAGAGGTCATTTATTTTTAATACAGATTCAACAATCTGTTTCGTTTTGTTTTCTCAGCCACTTTTTCTTTAGTTTTCTTTTTGAGACCCAATTCCTGAAATAACTTTAAGAACTTAATTACTTACATTCTGCTTCATCAAACAATTAATCTTGTACTTAAGTCACAATACTTGTATGAGTATGGCTTTTGAGAGAAGAGTTTGAATCCACATTACTCCCTTGCCTCTTGTACTTGACTTTGCCTATCTGATAACCAGTAGGCTGGACCAAAGTGTGAGTCTGCACGTTAGCAGGGTAAGGAGCTGGTGCTCAGATTTGAATGCACGCTCGATACAATGGGCATAGTGAATGATTACAGGATGATTTAAATTTATTTTCAAATTTAAGCACTTCTTTACTTGTTTAGCTGAGCAGAATTTAGATACTCCATATGCTTAAAGTTAAATGGCTCAAGTTAAGTGGCTTAAAGGGTTTCCTAAAGCATTTTTTGAATTTATGTAATTCTTTTACTTCAATAGAAGAAGAGATAGGCCCACGTCAAACAGTTTTGAAAAGCCCATTCTCATTGCTCTGCTAAGAAGATAATTTTGTTTCCTTTATTCTATCCCCTTTCTGGTTAAATCACTTTCATTTCCCTGACTCTTCTTATTCCCGTTGTTTCCTGCTAACCTTTCCTCTAATGTCCAGTTTTCTATTAACTTTTCCACACTGACTATTCTTTGTTTCTCTTCTTTTTACTGGAGTTTTGGAGAGGTCATTATACTTTTTCAGTTTCTTTCCTTCTTTCGTCAGTTCCTGGAATCTAACAACAAATAAAACTCTCTGATTTCAACTATGACTTTTTGGTGAGAAACGCTCAAATCAATATTTAGTGCTAGATCAATAGAAAGTGTAAGCAGAGCACTGTGGATGCCATTTACAAAAAAAAGGGAACTGGGACTTGCGTATTACTAAAAATTATTCTGTAAATTGGGATATCGGATTCTGGAGCCAGGCAGTAGGATCAGCACCTGAGAACGGTCATGTAGGAATTAGGGCTTCACCCCGCAAAAAGGTGGCAGGACTAATAGCCCAACTGAAATGGGTCTACACCAATGCACATAGCATGGGCAACAAACAGGAGGAGCTGGAAGCTACTGTGCAGCAGGAAAGCTATGATGTAGTCACCATCACAGAAACATGGTGGGATGACTCACACAACTGGTGTGCTTCAATGGATGGCTATAAGATCTTCAGAAGGGATGGGCAAGGACGGAGAGGCAGTGGAGTGGCCCTATATGTTAGGGAGTGTTTTCACTGTCTGGACCTTAATGATGGTGATGATAGGGTTGAGTGTTTATGAGTTAGAATCAGGTGGAACGTCAACAAAGCAAATATCATGGTGGGAGCCTCTTATAGACCACCCAACCAGGATGAAGAGGCAGACAAAATATTCCATAAGCAGCTGGGAGAAGTCTCACAATTGCTAGCCCTTGTTCTCGTTGGGGACTTCAACTTAGCAGATGTCTGCTGGAAATACAGTACAGCAGAGAGGAAAGAGTCTAGGAAGTTCCTGGAGTGTGTGGAAAATAACTTCCTGACACAGATGGTGAGGGAGCCTAGGAAAGGTGCCCCACTGGACCTGTTGCTTGTGAATAAAGAAGGACTTGTGGGTGATCTGATGGTTGGAGGCTGTCTTGGGCACAGAACCACTACATTGGACTTCCAGAGCCAGACTTTGGCCTGTTTAGGAGCCTGGTTGACAGAGTCCCTTGGGAGGCAGTCCTGAAGGGCAAAGGAGTCCAGGAAGGCTGGACTTTCCTCAAGAAGGAAATCTTAAAGACACAGGAGCAGGCTGTCCCCATGTGCCAAAGGACAAGCTGGCAGGGAAGAAGACTGGCCTGGCTGAATGGAGAGCTTTGTCTGGAACTTGGGGAAAAAAAGAGAGTTTATAACCTTTGGAAGAAAGGGCACTCAGCTCAGGAGGACTACAAGGATGTTGTGTGGTTATGCAGGGAGACAATTAGAAGGGCCAAAGCCCAACTAGAATTTAATCTGACTTCTGCTGTAAAAGACAATAAGAAATGTTTCTATAATTATGTCAGCAATAAAAGGAGGGCTAAGGAGAATCTCCCTCCTTTATTGGATGCAGGGGGAACATAGTGACCAAGGATGAGGAAAAAGCTGAGGTACTTAATGCCTTCTGTGTCTCAGTCTCTAACGTTAAGACCAGTTGTTCCCTGGGTACCCAGCCCCCTGAGCTGGAAGACAAGGATGGGGGCAGAATGAAGCTGTAATCCAGGGGGAAATGGTTAGTGACCTGCTGCACAACTTAGACACACACAGGTCTATGGGGCCAGATGGGATCCAGCAAAGTATACTGAGGGAACTGGTGGGAGTGCTCACCAAGCCACTTTGCATCATTTATCAGCAATCCTGGCTAACCGGGGAGTTGACTGCAAGTTAGAAAATGAGTTAGCAAACTCATCTACAAGAAGGGTTGGAAGGAGGATCCAGAGAACTACAGGCCTGTCAGTCTGACCTCAGTGCCTGGGAATGTTATGGAGCAGATCATCTTGAGTGTCATCGTGTGGCACACACAGGACAATCAAGTGATCAGGCCCAGTCAGCATGGGCTGGTCCTGATTGACCAACCAGATCTCCAAGGTGACATGCTTAATGGATGAGGGAAAGACTGAGGATGTTGTCTACCTAGGCTTTAGTAAGGCCTTTGACACCCTTTCCCACAACATTCTCCTGGAGAAACTGGCTGCTCATGGCTTAGATGGACATACTCTTTGCTGGGTAAAAACTGGCTGGAGAGCCAGGCCCAAAGAGTTGTGGTGAATGGAGTTAAATCCAGTTGTCGGCCGGTCATGAGTGGTGCTCCCCAGGGCTTGGTACTGGGGCCAGTTCTCTTTAATATCTTTATCAGCAATTGGGACAAGGGGATCAAGCGTGCCCTTAGTAAGTTTGCAGAAACCAAGTTAGGTGGGAGTGTTGATCTGCTTGAGGGTAGGAAGGATCTACAGAGGGATCTGGACAGGCTGGATCGATGGGCCAAGGCCAGTTATATCAGGTTCAACAAGGCCAAGTGCCACGTCCCGCACTTGTATTACAACAACCCCATGCAGAGTTACAGGCTTGGGGAAGAGTGGCTGAAAAGCTGCCCCACGGGAAAGGACCTGCGAGTGTTGGTCAACAGCTGGCTTAATATGAGCAAGCAGTGTGCTATTGGCCAAGAAGACCAGTAGCTCCTGGCTTGTATCAGAAATAGCTTGGCCAGCAGGACCAGGGAAGTAATTGCCCCCCTGTACTCAGCACTGATGAGGCCGAACCTCAAATACTGTGTCCAGTTTTTGGCTCCTCACTACAAGAAAGACATTGAGGTGCTGGAGCGTGTTGAGAGAGGGCAGTGAAGCTGGTGAAGGGTCTAGAGCACAAATCTTATGAGGAGAGGCTGAGGGAACTGGGGTTGTTTAGTCTGGAGAAAAGGAGGCTGAAGGGAGACCTTACAGCTCTCTACAACTACCTGAAAGCATGTTGTAGTGAGGTGGGGGTTGGTCTCTTCTCCCAAGTCACAGGTGACAGGACAAGAGGAAATGGCCTCAAGTTGCACCAGGGGAGGTTTAGGATGGATATTAAGGAAAATTTCTTCACTGAAAGAGTTATCAAGCATTGGAATGGGCTGCCCAGGGAAGTGGTTGAGGCACCATCCCTGGAGGTATTTAAAAGATGGATAGATGTGATGCTTAGGGACATGGCAGTGCTAGGTTAATGGCTGAACTTGATGATCTTTTCCTTCTATGGTTCTATGATTGTATGATTTTAAGGTGATTCTTTAAAAATCATTATGCTTATTATAAAAAAAAAGAAAAAAACCAAACCAACCAAATACCCCACACAAGAAAAGTCCAGGTACACTGAATAGATTCATTAGACTTAATGTCACTGTTCTTTTACTGAGCCATGTATCACTCAACTTCTCTTAAGGCTTAGGAGAGACAGCATGGAATTGGAAGAGAAGCAGGGATCTCCATGAAAGGCAGTCAACTACTTCTTGGTAAGTTCAAAAAAAATATATAAAATTTTATTTCTGTTAAATTTTCACCTTTATGAAGCGACATATACTTAAGGGCCCTGTTCACAGTGGCAAAACAAAGCCAGTTATATTGAAACAGTCTCTACATTCTCTAGATTCATGTATGCTATCACCATGAAAAACGTGTTCTGTTATAGCTGAGTTTGTGGTATAACAATAAGTGACATAAAATTTATTAGTTATTTTCACAGTGATTACGCTACAGTGTTTTCACTCAGTTTCTGAACAAAACAAGATGTATAGGATTGTGTTGCCTCCTAATAACTTCTGAATCCAACCCTTAATTTCAGCTGCATTTGATATAGAGGTCCCCAAGTCAAGCTTCTACAATTTGAGTGAAACTTAGCAGCTGGGAGTAGAGAAAGGACTCAAATCAGTGCCCCCAGGGTCGAAAAAGCTGCAGCCATGGACTCAGAAATTTTCTATTCTGTTCAACCTGTTGACTTGCCAGTCAGCAGCTTGCTTGGTCTGCCAGTCAATGCATGTGTAGCTTAGACCTAGTCGCAATCTGAGCTACTTCTTGTTTCTGCAGAAATTTAAGGAAATCTGTTTAGAAGGGAATGGGAATACTGTGAACCTGGGATTACTGCACAAGTGCGTTGGTGGTACGTGTGAGCGCAGTGATAGGCAACTAGACTTCATTACTTCTACTAGTCATGCAAGAAAATTTGGTTTTGCCAGGGCCTTCTAGTCTCCCAAACTGCTTGTGAAACTTACCATTTTATGGTAGCTTCTACAGCTGGATTAGATACACGTTTTTCGTGTCCACAGCAGAGAAGGGAACTGTTGAGGCAGCTTCAGTACTTCATTTCTTTGACTGTTTGGATGTCAGCTCTGAGCTATCCCTTAGACTGTCAAAATTGTAAAACACTGTTTTCAGCTGTCTCCAGAAACTAACTGTAATTCAGACTGCAGCTATGACCCATCCTACAACCTACACTCTTGGAGCAGTGCAAGAAGCATGCATTGTATTCTAATTAACTTCCTTTGTGAAGAAAGATGTGGAGCTAGGCACAGGGACAGAAAACAATATTAGGATCTGGGTTCATCAAGTTACCACGTTGCACTGGAACTTGGGAAATGCTAAATCTGTAGCTGCATGGTTTTGGGCACCATGACTATCCTGAAAGGTGTGGTCTGTTCATTCTCAGTCAGTGAGAAATGGGCAGATTACACTTGCCAGAGGTACTAGTTCTCTCACTTTGCAGGCTCGAGTAGGAAGCACTAACTTAGCAGATGTCTGATATTTTTAAATTTTCTGTGTAACTTTAGACAGCATCAAGGTATCTTATAACACTTTTTAAACAGAACTTAGCACTGTAGCACTGTTCTTTAGAAACAGTTGAATTTCTCAGAATAACAGAAGCCTTAGAGTCATGTATATGAAACAAATTTTAAAAGCAGCAGCATGAGAAGAAACACTTCCAATTCAATATTGTAAGACAACTGCCTTGAATTTTCTCACAAAATCTGAAACGTGTATTTTAAATGTTTTTGTTTGTCCTTCTGCCCAGTTGAAAACCATCAACCTGGCGGCAAGGAATGAAAAACTATGATACTGTTCTCCATTTTCTGCTTATTTTCATGTCTTTTATTCATGTCAAAACCAGTAAGAGAACAACTGGTCATTAAGAAATCTAAAAAAAAAAAATAAAAGAAGAAAAGATTGCATTCCATTTATATAGAACTTTTGTTTCTTCTGTTAGATTCTCAAATTTAGCCCTAGCTTTTTTTTTTTTTTTGAAAAATATCATCGTTTCCGAAATGCTCTCTGTATTAAAAGAGTGAAGAAATATCTGGTGCATGTTTCTAGGATCTTGAGGTTGTTCTTATAACCTTTATCACCAGTACTCTTGCATAATGTCACCAGTTAAATATTTCATGGAACCTATGGCTAACCAGTTTTTAAACAGGTTTATAGTATATAAAAACATTGTAACTTATAATATTTTCCTTTTAAAGATCAACATAGATGTGTTTTTAATAAGAACAGTAAGGTCAAATCATGAATGTTAAGTTTTGTGTGAACAGCAAAGTGGTGGCATATTCTTGTTTAACATTATGTTGTATGCTTCCCGTAAATGGTGTTCACTAAGAGCTTAAACTTAGCAAATAATTAAGTATAGTTGATTTTCATAAGGATTTTTTTGTTTAAAAAAGCTGACCCTTTTTAGTCTAAAAATGAGTAATATTAAACCACTTTTTATCATGTATTTTCTAAGACCTCGGTCTTAGATGCTGCTATATGTGGTCAGAGACTTTCATGATCATGAAGAGCTCAATAAATTCACAGGCCTATGCTGTGTCCCCAGAATGGGTGTTGTGGGACAGATTTTAAGAAAGCTTAAGCACTAAAAAGCAACTTGCATAATAGACCAAAGAAACTAGCATAACTAATCTTTAGAAAATAATAATTAAAAAATTATATTTCAAATATGTATCAGTAAAAGCTCCCACAATGTGCTGTTACTACATGTAAAATGCATAAGCAATTTTAAGACAACATTCTTTAAAGAAGGAGCTAAAAATTCCTATAAATAATATGCAACTTAAAGATGTATGGAGCTCCTTTATTATGTGCTAAATGCTGTAATAAAACAGGCTATCAGTAGGTTTTGCTGCATGTTACTAATTTTATTTTTTTTTATCCCAATATTTTTGCAGGTGTGTGGAGGAACAGTTCCTGTTCTCACTGTTGTTGCTCCCACATAGGCGGACTCTGTAATTGATTATGTGTGGGTAGGGCCCTTCTGAAATTAAGGAGATTCTGCAATAGTGCAGGGTTCTTTTGGTGAAAGTTCAGTTGCAAGATCAGGACCCTACTGTGACTCCTTACTGTGAATTCTGTCAGTGTGTCATTGATTGTGCTGGAACCTGCCTTTTGGGAAAATGTAAGTCCTGCTTTTCCCCCGAATGTACTTTAGACATGAAATAATCATAAAACATTTCTAATTAGAAAATTAATATTATTTACATGCATTCTTTCAATTATGTTTTCTTGGCAGTACCAAATAATATATTCCTCAAAACTTCTTAATGGCACTGAGGCTTTGTGGATAGTTGGTCACATGATGAGAAAATTTGGCTGTAAGTACATTGAAATGATTGAATTTTTCAATAGTTAGACTTTAATGATGTTGACAAACTAATAATGATAAAAAAGTAGATCAAGACTTTTGACTTCTGTCAATTGACTTCAGTTCTTTTTAGAAAATATATACAATATATCCATTAAGCATTTCAGTATTGGTAGGTAATTCACCATGTGAACCTAGCGTCCTTCTGTACTGCTGTTAGGCAGGGAGTTTTAATTTGTTTTCATTATTTTCAGAATAGCGTGTCTCTGACTTGCTCTGTATTTTCACCCATAAACTGTCTGAAATTTATAGATCTATAAAAACTGTTCATACCACCAATATTTGTGTAGATACTGCAAACTGATTTACTAACATAATTGTCTTGCTGAGTTGAACATTGAAATGTTAATAAATATACACCTATACTTGTGTCAATGTAACTTGGTTAAATTAAACTAAACTGAGCTGGCATTATGAGTGAATTTGATCATGCATGCTGATTAGCTCTAGTCTTAGGCAGAAACAACATATTTTATTGTACCTAAGTACTTTGTGCTTAATCAATAATAATTATGCATATCATATGTCAGTGGATTCACCCAAAATAACTACAAATATCTGTGCTTGGATTAAGGGGGAATTTATTTTCCCGTAGCTATGGGTACAATCACTGCTATGGCTCCTATTTTTATATACAAATGAGCAAAAAACTACACGTAGGTGTTTTCCCTGTATAACAAAAGTGGTATTATAAACTCCATGCCCTTTTTTTATGATGCTGTATTTCTTTTTCTGGTATTGAAATGCAAGACTGTTTTCTATGGGATCTTAGTATCCGAAAAATGGAAGAACTGGAAATGTAATTGAATTTGTGAATAGTTATTAAGGACTTGTAAAGGTCTATAGGAGTTGTACATAAAGACAATTAGAGATTCTTTCCCAGATAATAATTGGTGAGTAAAGATTAACAAAGATAGGATTTTTTTTGTTTTGCTTGGCACAAGAGCAGCATGAAATGAAAGTTATTTGAAGAAAGAGCAAGACCAAAGAAGAAATCATAAACTCAGATCAAAAGCTGACTAGAGGGTCCAATTTAAAAAAAAACAACCCCACAACAAAACAAAATAAAAAACCAGAAAATGGATGGCAAAAGCATGCCTGAAAGGAGAACTAAATACATAGCTACTAGTATTTCTCATTGTACTGAATATATGATAAATTTAAGTTTCAAACTTTCAGTAAGTGTTTTTCTGTAATTTTGTTTTTCTCTTGGAGGGAAGTGTAAGGGCTTTGAAGAAGACTCAGTGCCTAGTTGTGAATTACCTGTATAAATTGGTGATTCAAGGTGACATTTATAACTAAGAACAGAGTAGTATGGGTTATGTATGCTAAACTACAATTAGTGCTAAGCAGAGGCCATAATTTCTTGTTCAAACACATAACAATGATTTTGAAATGCATCATTTCAACAGAGCTCAAAACACAATTTCATTATGTTCCTTGTAGGATGGGAATTTTCAAAGTCCTAGTTAAAACACTTAACAGTGATTCTTTTGAGATTTTGCAACGTAAAATAAAACTGAGATATTTCAATACAAAATCAAGTCAAGATTTGAGAACTTTGGATGTTTCATTTTGCATAAAAGAATCTTGATCAGCATATTTTGTTTTTAAAATGTTTATATCTAATGGTTTACTGATTTCACCTTTTAATCCTATTGGCCATATTTATTCTTACATGCACTAAATTGGGTAAAAGAAAGAAAAATAGGGGGAGACTTGGTGATACCAAAAAACCCCAAGCACAGTTCTCTAGCCGTGCCCACCCTGCACCAAACCAGATCAAAAGTGCCTTAGAATAGATCTAGTTTTAGGGAAGAAAAGGGAAGAAAGTGAAATGCGAGTGAGTGCAGTATCAGGAATCCCCTGGATGTTTCACTCATCACCACTGAGAGTCACCCAGGAGTGACTGCTTCTCCTTCGTGTGATGGCAACTTCTCAGACCTTTGCGGGACATAACGTTGGGGCACAGCTCTGTTCTGCCTGGGGTAGTGCCTGTGACAAATATTATTTGGAAGAAAAGGAAGTCTGAGTTGTCTCCTGCTGTAACCAGCTCCACACTGCTCACCCCCATCATTCATTGAGCATCTTATCTCATTGTTTCTTTGGCTTAACCCATGCCATGATGCTGTAAATGACTGAAACTAGGAGAACAGCAAGAAAGCAGATATCAAGAGGGTGAGTTGATGTTGGGGAATGTAGGGAGTGGGCATTTGCTATGCAGCTATACGTTGTATGGGTTTGGGAATACTTGAAGAGCTGTAATACCAAACTACGGCAACAGAGAGTGAGTTTCCATTGGTGACAAACTGAGGTGATAGCCCTGGTTCTGTGCACGAAGAAGCAAAAGCATAGGAATGTGCCTGAACATTCAGCATGTTAGTTGCATTAAGTTTAAGTTGTGTGTGCTTAAGTTTTTCTCTGCTACTGTTTGCGCTTGGCTTGTATGGTGACTGTCCTGTCTTCAAGCTGGATGTGGCATGTTTTTGTTTATGTCGAATGAGGCACCCATCATATTATAATGCCATGAACATTGTTTTTCTTCAACTCTTGAAAGTCAAAACACGGTAGCATAGATAGCTGTAATAAGTTAGTAATAAATGTGACATTAAAGAATTTTCTCATTTCACAGTATTTATCAGAAAAACAATGTTTTATGTGTTTCATATGCCTCCTCCCATCTTTTCCACTCTGAAGCAGAGCTAATGCATGAAAATTTTATTCAGTAGTCCCTTCGGTTCTTTATTTCCAGTTACAGCTATGGGTCTTTCGTTTTTTTCAAATTTAGGTTGAGGCCCTCACAAAACCTCTCTGCATCCTCTATGAATGACACCATCATGCTGTCGTTTGTTTTAAGTCATCAAATCTAGGCAAAATCTGAGTTTTGGGAATCTTTTTCCAATCCTTTCCCATCCTTTAAGGATGCTTTTTCTCTTCCGTCAGATAATTGTGTTTTTCATCCAGGTTTTCTGTGGATCTTTAATAGAAAATCTTTTTCTTTTGCCTTGACAAGTGCAGTCTTGCCATCCTTGTTACCTAGTCAAAGTGTTACTCTACTGTAAATACCAGTTCTCAAACTTGCTCCTCTGGTATTCTTAATTTCCTCCTTCAGTTTAAAGCAATAAAGATAAGCTATCTGTCTTTATTTTCAAGGCCCATCAAGACTACTTCTACCTGATACCTCTCCTTCAGTATCAAGAGGCTGACTGGTTTTGATCAACACATGATGCCAGCTTCCATCATTCGGTCGTTAAATTTTCAGACTGGATATTTTCTCTTCAGCTGCCTCTCATGTATTGGTTAACTTCTTCATAAACAGAACTGTTCACTATCTTCCTTTAAATATCTTCTTAAAAGTTTTATGTAATGCGAGGCATAAAACAATCCAACTAGACAACAGTTATATTGCAGGTATATTAATGCCAACGCTTATCACAGTAGTACTGTGTCATCGCATTTGTACTCTGCCATAATTTCTCTGTTGTCTCTTTATGTAGAATTCAAGCACATCCGCTTCTTGTTGTGTGTTTTTTTGTGGCCCAGCATAATGAGAAGTGGTCCAGGGTGAGGCCTCCGTAGATTTATGGTAATACATATAATAATAAATAATAGTGAACACCTACTGGATACTGCAGTGTGGCTGTTGGATTCTGCTGTGCCTCATGTCACATCGTATTTAATGGAGAAAGAAGGTGCTCCAACTAGAGGCCTCACAAGAGGGAAAGAAGAAGGGCTTTGCAGCCAACAGATAAAATGCTAGCCCCAGAGGCCTTCTCAACTGTCAAACCCGAGTCCATAGCTACTGGCTGAAAGCATCCCTCTCTTCTCTTCTCCAGAGCAGTAAAAACAGACTCTCCATTCTCATAGAAGGAAGTAAATTCAAATAACACAAAGGTCTACACTGCGTGTAAAAGGTAAAGGACTTTTCATACTCGCATAGCATCTTTCTGCTCCTTAGTTCATTCCCTTCCTGACAGAGTGTCTCTTGGTACAGAAATTTTGAATAACCACAAGCCGTTGTTCCAGCCATAGTGGTGGTCAGTCCTTTTTCAAATGCTTCTCTGTTGAGAAGGAACCTACGCTAGTACTGATTTGGTGTCTTGGCACATTGCTATCTCATAGTGCTCTGTTTCCCATGTGCCTTGAAGGTAATGATTCTTCAGAAGAGTGGTAAGCATGAATTCCATCAGGAATTCCCCAGGTATGTCACCCTCTTTCTGGAAGTGGGTCTGCATGTATCCCTTTTCTTTCTTTCTTTCAAAGGGACACTGAAACGTCAGTGTAGAGATTATAGCTGTTACACAGGTGGTAGATTGGACTATGCAGAAAAATGGCACCTACCAAAGAAAATATAGTCAAATAAGTTAATTTTTATCAGAATATACCACAAAACATGATTACAAATAGTTCTCTATCTCAATAGGAGAAGTCTAGTGAGAACTCTGAACTAGTTTAGTCGATGGGATGGAGACAGGGGCTGTGAAATACTGTGGGAGAACTGGAGAGGCTATACAACCCAAAAGCTTGATCGTAACAAGAGTTCTTGGTTATCTATATATAGACTGGATAAACTTAACATTAGAATGCATTAGGCCATCATGCACAGGCTGTATTTTTAGGTATCATCAAGAACAAACCAGCTAGAATATCCAGAAGAGGGGGGAGAGCCTTTGATTTAGTCTAGATTAGCACACAAGAAGTGATGATAGAAGTGCCATTCAGTAGCAATATCTCATATCATACTCAAGTTTCTCATACTTGTCAGAGAGAAAAAGATTAAAATAAAAAAAATAGTCCAGTATTGTTTAAAAAAAGAGGAATTGTATACAAATGAAGACAACTGTTTAAATAAATATTAAAAGAGACATGGGGACTTTGCTTTCTGATTCTAACCCAGTTGAGTAAGAATTGCCCAACACAACTGAGCAGTAAAGGAAGTCACTAGAAATAAATAGAGATTTTTCAAAAAGCTAAATCCAAGCAAGCAAACCAGAAAAGAGAATAGTTCTGGGAAATTAAATGTAGACCTACTGTAAGGAAGAAAGATTTTGAAATGTAACAGGCTAAAATCCTAAAAGCCAAACCCCATTTTTTTCCAGGTGTAAATTTTGCTGGTAGGGAGGTGGGTTCAATAGATAATTGCGGATAAAGAGAATATTTAAAGACAAAACCATCACAGAAAGAAACAAATGATCTCTTTGCTTTAGCAAGGTTTATTACAGGGAGATTAGGGACATTCCCACATAAAAGTTGTTCTTTATAGGGACTATTTTGGATTTGAAATACCAATAAAAGATTTTCTAACAAATTGATTGAATAAACTTCAACAGATTGCCAGATAGCATGTTTTTCATTTGGAAGTCCTAGAGAAATTCAGAAATGAAATTAGTGAGCCATGAACTGTGTTGTATAATCTATCACTTAAATTACCCTTGATAACAGAGGAATGGAAAGTAACAAATGTGACACTGGTTTTAAAAAGGGCTCTGGGGATGATTGTGGACTAATGGACTAATAAGTCTGACTACCATGACAGACAAAATGCCAGTGAATGTGATAAAGGATGTAATTAATAGGAACATAGGTAGGTATAATAGGGAACCATCATCTTGGCTTTTGTACTGAGTAGTTTTATCTTAGAGCTGTGCTAGTTATTTGAAGGAATCAACAGCTACACAGGAAAGGGTGACCCAAAAGTTTTTCAAAAAGCTCTGTTAACCAAAGACTGTTAACAAAATGAAGTATTGAGTTACTTAAAATTCTTTGTGGATTAGTAGAGGGTTACAAGATAAGGAACAGTATAGCAACTAACGGGCAGTTTTAAGAATGCCACCTCACAGAGGTTTGTACCGGCACCTTTGCTAGTCCACCTGTTCCTAAATGGTCCGAAAAAGTGCAATGATAAAGATTGCAGATGATAAAAAGAAAATACTCAGTTGGAGTCAGACCTAATGTTGACCCTGAGGAGCTGCAGAAGGATCTCACAGCGGGACCTGTGGTGATCCAGGAGGCACGGCTGTCACAGAGGCCAGATCTGGCTGACCCCGCTGCTGAGCCGTATCTATCAGCGGGGAGAGGCAGCGGCTGTGGGGTTACAGCAGCCATCACCCCCTGTGCTGGGAGCTCAGCGGGCTCTGACTAGTCCTGCTGCTCAGGAAGGCAGGGGCTTGTAGCTGTTCTTTCTAACCACAGCGGGGGCTGCAAGTTGAAGAGAAGATTCTTCCCTATTTCTCAGGGTTTCACAGCCCCGATGAACTTAAAGGACAAGTTTTGATCCTGGGGTTCCTGCCTGTCACAGGGGCGGAATATCACCATTAAACTGATAGATAGTATCTTGCTGCTGTGAGAAATCAGGGCTTTCAAGCCATCTTACTGGTGTTTGCATGGATTTTTAGCAGCTCCTGCTAATTTCCTAAAACCATTCTGGATAGAGTTGATGCTAGCAAAAAGTGGCAAAATGGTGTCTGAATCAGAAGTGGCACTGGCATCATATAGAAAAGGATGACTAAGAGGTATGGCATAGCTCTTCTGCAGGGACAGTAAATGGATCAGGATTTCTCAGTTTGGAAGGACGTTGACTAAGGAGTAGGTAATAGGATAAAGGTCTCTAAAACCGTGAATACATGTTTAACAGGGGACTAAACTCCCTGTTTCTCATAATGGAAGAATGGTCACTGTTTTGTTCAATTTAGGTGATCTTTAAGATGGCAAAAGGCTGCTTATCACCAGTTTTATCTGCCATAGTTTTCTGAATACATCTTTTCAAGTGTTTACTCATCTTGAAAAGTCCACTTATCCTGAACCAGATGCGGCCAAAATGCAACCTGTGCAGAATTACACCTTTTCTGTAAATAAAAGTTTGTAGTACTCATTGATGGTGAATTTTCAGATATGAAACAAACGTAAAATGGTCCCATTTTCCTAAATCTGCAGACATTTTTTTTTATCCTCTGCTTCTGTTTATTCCTGTATCTGGCAGTAGCAACATTATGGGTGGGCAGATTGGTTTTACTTCTGTTGTTTACAGACCTGTGGGCAATGCAGAGTGCCAGTTTGCTACTACTTCAGAAAGCTAAAAGCAGTAGCAGGCCCTAAAATTAATCCCAGGGGAAATCAGATAAAGAAACAAAAATGTTTCACACAGCAACCAGAAGGTCTGGAGGGAGGGATGGAGTAGAAGACATCATTGTACCTTTGAAAACAGCTGGAACGGTTTCCAAGCTGTGATCCACAAACCTCTGGTGGACTACAAGGCTATCGTAGGTTGAACAGCTGTTTGGCTAAACCACAGTTAACAGTGTTTTAAATAGTGTTTCCAATTAAAAGTTTGATCAGATGAGCGTGTGGTGGTTTTTGAAAAACGGTAAGGGCTGATAATGATCTGTTGTTCTAAAAATATGGGAACCACTTTTCCGGAGTGTATGAAAGGTAAAGAGCACTTCCCACTTCGTCAGCTTTAGGTAGGTTTCATGCGTCTCCACCAGAAACAACTAGAGGTTCCCAGAACAGGGCCAGGAAGAGCAGTCTGGTAGCGTTAACCCTTCTGTCCCCACCACACCCTCCCCAGTAACAGAACTGTGGGAGTCTTAATCACCCTCGGGTATCACTAGAAGTCTTAGCTACCCCTAATTTTCATGTATGTTCTTGACTAGTAGATTTAGTTTTCTGAGAAGTGAGTATAATTTTTCAAGTCTTGGGTCCTCATCATACAAAGATTAAACTTGTCAACTCCACTTCCTTCAAATATGTATCTTTCTTTGAATTAATACCTGTTTTCTCATTGCCAGAAAAATAGATTTAAAAATTCATTGTGAACACATGTAAACTTTCCTTACGAGTATTAGCACTTCTTATAACAATATCTGTTTATCAGTTTTTAAAAATTCCCAATTCTATTTGACCAACTTCTTTTAATTTGCCAGCTCCCTTAATAGTAAATTTACATTGTAAAAAAAATCTTCTTTGTTTCATATAAGGTCTCTATTACTTTTTTCTTTCTACTGAAAAATTTCTAGAATCATAAAGTACTTTTATTATCAGTGCTTTTAGTTGCCCTTGACATAGGTTACTTCCCACTGTCCCAAGTACCATACAAGCACATCCATAAGTAATTTGTAGAGATATTGTCTTTTCCAACATATTGCGCATCTTTATGGTAGGAATTATGGTGGTGGTGAATTTGAGAAATGCTGTATTCAAATGGTATAAATATGTTTATCCTCAAGAAATCAATTGTCTAACCTAAAATTACTGTAGTATATCTTATGAAATTTAAACAAAATACTGGAAACATATTTTATTGATAATACTGTTTTAAAAGGAACTAAAGAAAATGGCCAGCGAGCATGCTCTGTGTAACCTTTTATTGTTCCATATTTTTTCTTTGTGTGTTTTGATACATATATGGAAAATTACAGGGTTTGTGCATGTTTTTGTACTATCTTGCTAAATACCTGTTGCTAACATAACACGATTCTGAAGTTGTCTTTGCTCAGGCTTAAGCTAGAAGCTGAATATGAGATCGAGGGGAATCTTTGCCTTGTATCAGAAAGGTACATGTAGGGGAGGAGAGAGCGACTTCTGCTCTAGTGTGAAAAAAGGTTATTTCCTGGTGTCATCTGTGAGTGGGAGAACAGAGATTCATGAGTCTAGACAAGGTGTATGGGTATAGAATTTGGGGTCAGCTGGAAATCACTTTACCACAGCACATGGCTACAGCTCTCTACCTGAATCTAGTTCACTCCACATTTGCCCTAGCTATGCCCTTTCCTGTGTCTTCTGGAAGCCTGGCTTTGCCAGTTTCTGCACATGATGCTTTGAAGTGGAAAACCTACTTTCCTGCTTACTCCAGGAGTAGTTATGTGCAAAGATGCAAATGGTCCCACCTATCCCTCCCATCTAAATCTTCTCTTCTGTCCCACTATGCTTTCTTCTGCCTCCTGCCCATGGGGTTCTGCACTGCACATGCAGATGGACAGATGAATCGTAGAATAGAATCAGTGTCATTTAGGTTGGAAAAGACCCTGAAGATCATCAACCATAAATCCAGCACTACCAAGTCCACCACTAAACAATGTCCCTAAAGCAATACATCTACATACAACCCTTTCAGTGAAGAAATTTTTCTTAATATCCAGTCTAAACTTCCCCTGGTGCAACTTGAGGCTTTTTCCTCTTGTCCTGTCACCTGTAACTTGGGAGAAGAGACCGACCCCCACCTCGCTACAGCCTCCTTTCAGGTGGTTGTAGGGAGTGATAAAGTCTCCTCTCAGCCTCTGATTTGCATTTTTCTGTGATCTGTGACCTTCCTAAAAATAAATTAATTAATCTGGTGGATGACTACACCTATTGGTGATAAGTTGAAGGTTACTGACAGGATGGTTGTTTTTCTTAATTATTATTTTGCAGATCCTTTATAAGTTGTTCATGAAGACTAAAGAGTCTGCAGAAAGACTGAAAGCTGATGTCTTATGGTATCCCCCTAAATGCAAGGGGTTTTTTGGCACATATATTTTCATAAGTCTTAAGCTTTTATTTAACAGTTTTCTTTCTTAATACATGGTTGCATATGTATGTCTATGACTAAACTTAGCTTAGTGAGCCAGAAGCATGATTTCTGTAAAATTCAAATTCAGTAATTAATAAGCCTTTCAGCACCTTACAATACAAATAGGTTAAGTAGCAAGATCTATGTAACAATAATAAAATAGAGCATACTTTTTTTGTGTATGTGTGTTAGAGGGTACATTTTAATGGAAAACTATTTTGGTGTTTCTTTCATGAGCAGATTTTTGTAGTGGATATAGACATCACTCTTTTAGTCAGTGTTGGTCCCTACAAATTGGCTCTACTCTGTTTGCTTGTCTTATGTCATTTTTTCTGTAAAGACTGCAGGAACTCATGATTACTGAGAGGTAACTCCTTGAAGTTTTGGCACTGTCCTCTACAAAGTAATGTACCCTGAGCTGGCTTTCTGTTACCATGCCAGAGAAACATCAATTGTTGATACTATGTGTGAAACAACATTTGATATAAAGCGTATTAAGTTACTTGAAAAAAATCTTGAAAGGATGGATTTTGTGTTTACAAGAGCTGGCATCTAAAAATATATGTCATGGACACATGTAATAAATGTTTATTAATTGCTACAGGAGAAAAAATATTTACATTTGTGTACAATATGCTAGTCTTAATTATAGCTATTTTTATCTCCTTAAATATCTTCTCATAAGATATGTAAGATATAAGCTGGTTATAAAGTATTGAAAGATGTGAGTAATTTAATTTGTTGAAGCATTCAGTGCATCATTTAAAATGGCTACTAAAGGAGAGAAGTTGACATGCACTTCTCATAACAGCTAAGCATGAAAATAAGGTATCAGAGATAATAATACAGTTCCAAATAGGTAAAAATCATTGTTATGTTTTGCTGAATGAGCAGAGCTCTTCACAGAATGGTGATCTCATTCTGAGATTACAGTTACCTAAATAGATTTTCATTGCTAAATGTTATTCTGGTGTTTTTATATCTTTGTTGGAAATGAGAAAACATTTAAAATTTAAGTCATTGGTCTTGCAAAAGCCATGCAAAAAGCTTTCAGGACTTGGTATTTTACCTCAGGATTATATCCATAGCCCTTTTAAATTTTGGAATGTCAGAAATTGTGCAGGTGAGTAGGAAAAAGCAAATGTGAAAGGAAGACACTGAAATGGAGAGGAGGAAATTATTTTCCTTTGCAGAAGGAAGGGAAGGATGAAAAACAACGTAATAATCATAGTAGAAATAATAGGGTGAAAAAGGAGGAGCTAGGTAAGTATTGACACTAGTATCTTGTATTTAGTGCTCAGACATGGTATGTTTTATGCTTGCATGGAAAACAGATTGAGACTTCAGTTTTCTGACTAAGTGCGTGCTGTGCTGAGCTGTACTTTATTCTCTGCACATTTTTGGTTTAGCACGGTTGCTTCTAGGGAAGGCTTTAAATTGGCGTTCAGGGCCAACCTAAATCACAAAATATATTCTCCTACTAGAAAATGATGACTGCTCCAATGTTCTGTCATCCTAAGTAAGCTCTTAACAACAACACTATTAGACATCAAAAAATCAAAGCCAGTTTTTTATATATATTTCTGTTGTTAATTCTAGTCACTAGCATTGAGACAGGGCATGGGCAGGCAGGCAATAAAATAACATTTACGAGTGGCAAAAACTGTATGCAAAACCTATTGTAATAATGCTAAAACTGAAAATGAAAATTGCTAATTAATCATTATTCAACAGGACTAGGCAAAGTTAATTAATTCATAACCAAACGTAGCTGTAGAATAATGGATTACTTACATTGGCTTTCATTACAGGTTAGACATCAGTGTGTGGATTTCATCCGTAAGCTGTAATAAAATAAAATAAATTAGGAAGTTGACAAAAAAAAGTTTAATTCAGTAATTTGTTCATTTATGTGCCTAGTTACTGCATGATTCCCATGAGTATATATGGTATTACAGCAGAGTAAACGTTCAGGGAAAATTATATGCTTTTAAAACTGAGAAGTTAACTAATATTTATATAGTGACTATAACATGATTACCATGAATTTCCATGCTAAAAACTTGTTTATTTTTAAGTACAGAGATAGGAACCTCCCGACTTCTTATATTCACTTGTTGGTATGCATAAAACGCATGCACCTGAGCAGCACTTCAGTGTAACTGAGCCCCGAGCTGATGTACAGCAGAGTAGCATCCCCTGTAAAACTGCCCTGTTGCTGGCTGTGGTCAGAAAGAGTCAAAATAGATAGAGCAGGGAGAGGCCTTATGGTGCCAATTCACAAATAATTTTGGAGTGGTAACGTCTACTTTTTGGAAGGCAGCGTATTAATTTCTGCTGATAGAGAGAGAGAACTCTGCGTAAGATTTATGCTATAAATTGCTGCGTGAGAGGGTTCCCTTTCCTGTGCAGTGTCTGCATCACTGAGCAGCAGTTTCTAAGGGCCCCCAGTGAAGATATAAATACTGAAAAACTGACATAGCAGTACTCGTTACGTTCATTCTAAAAAGAAAATGAAATTAAATGCAGATACAGCTTTTAGAAGTTCTAAATAAGAGACTTCACGCTGTATTTTATAATTAGCCCTTGCTGTTACATTGTTTTGCATTAGTGTTACACTGTTATGTTACATGACTCTAGAATTGTTAGATCATATCAATTCTTCAGTGCAAAATCACATTTCAAGTGGACCAATATTTAGATTTTGAAGACGTCTTTTTAATTGCATTGTAACCGACAACCCTGTTGTCCTTCTGCAATAGGCAGTGTCAAGATGACTGTATTCTGAAATAGTCATTCATGGAAGACCACTGTATGCATAGGTCTCCAATGAGGTATGAATTGCACAATCCCAGGTTTACGTCTCTCAGACTTTCTGTACTAAAAAGAAAGCTCAGACTCTGAACTGTCCCTTTGGTGTATATTCCAGCCCCCAGATCAGTGCCCAGGAGGAAGGCTCCCTTTCTCATTCTCTTCTCTGTTTATTTATGCTTTGGTACTGCAATTCTGTAAGAGCAGAGTCTCGGTTTTGTATCTGGGCTGACAAGCTGGTGAAGGTGGTATGAATTGGTTGTCCCCACAGACCTGCTCCACACTGAAGCTTCCTGCACGGGGACTGGGCTATATACCAACTTGAAAACCAGCCCTTCACCCATGCCTCTTGTATTGAATTATAGGTCATTTAAAATAACCATTATAATGTAAGTATCCGTGACCATGACATGGGATTTCAGCATTTTTTTCAAACAGTATTTACTGTATTTAGTAACAAATTACTGAAATATCAGCAGTGCCATTTTAAGTATGTTACATATAATATTTCCTGAATCAGGCCTTAATGTTGGGAACATAGAATCCTAGTAATGTCAAGCTTTGATTTTTGCTTACAGCAGATAAACCTAAACGCCCAGTAGTCCTTTCTATTAGTCCTAATAGAAAAGCAAACTTTCTTTTATTTGAAAGACTTCATTTTTGTGCTCAGTATAGTGAACACGAATAATGTTCAGTAATAAAAAAATACTATGCAGCACAAGCCTATGAAGTGTTCTGTGCAGATGAAAATCATTAGTAAATTTTCTATGTTCAGAGTAAAGGAAGTTGAAAATGCGCTGTTTCTCATATTATTTTAATCCAGATGTTGTTATCCATAACTATTTGGGTTAAAGATGTGCTGCTAGGTTCACAAATACCGAGCGAACTTCACAAAATTAATTACATGTCAAATATGTGACTCAGACTCTAAGATTCAGACCTTAGGATGGGATGAATCGCCCTCTGGAGGTGCCCGTTTCAGTCTACTGACTTCACAGGAATCCTGCTTTGAACTGACAAGCTCAAACTAAAAGTTAAGTGAGTGGCCTGTCACCTTAAGAGAGGAATACCTGAGCGTTTCATACCATACTAACTCTTTTCTGCAGACCTCTTTCTTTTTAAGAATGGCTGCCTTCTTCCTCACCTTCTCTGTTGGTGTTCATGTACTGTTTCTAAAACAAATAAGCACAATTGTTACTGTTGCTATTTCCTGTGTATATTGTTTTTTCCTGTCCTTTTCGATCTTGTTATCTTATCTTTCCCTGTTTTTTTTTTTCTTTTTCCTGGCTCTATCTAGCTACCATCTCTTCTGAAGCTTTTCACTTACTACCTCTCTGACCATCCTACCTTCTCTGTTGAAAGTAGTGTCCTAACTTCTGCTGTGGAAGACTGCTGACCCTTTCCTTTGATGCTGATACCAGTATTGTCTGTGAGAGATAGTACTGTAGTGAAGACATAGAAAAAGAAGAATACGGCACTTATGGATTCTTTGTAGTTTTGAATAGTCAAGAAGTATTGTTCTTCTGCCTTCATATAAAATGTGTTAGTTTTCTAATGTAATTTCAAGATGTTTATGGAAGTGTAAAATTAAACATGAAGAATATAAAATCCGTATTAAAGACATTTAAATTTAACAAAGTATAGCATTAGTCTTTATTTTCAAAATTGAGTCCTACATGGCTCACTTGCAAGAAGTGGGATAGATTGTAAAAGTTGTGTACTGGTGAAGTCTGACTTATTGAAAGGTAAATTTATTTTCTTCCTCCCTATGGTAATATTTTCTTGGTTTATATTTATTAAAGATCTCTCCTTGACTTGAGTTCTCTGTCTTCTCCCTTTTTTTTGTTCCTTTTGTTAACCTAAGTTTCCTGTTCCTTTCTGCACTGGACTCTCCTAACTCTTTTGGTTCAATACCAATCCATTTTTCTTCCATGTATATATCCATTTGCCTAAAATATTACTGTAAGCATGATCATATATACACAAGAATATATTTACTTCTATAAGACTTGCAGTAAACCAGATAAGAATCTTGACAGCATTCTAAGTTTTTTATGACGCATGTGCCTTCATAGGATCAAAGTACCTTACCTCCTACATCAATGGAATTATAATTATGGACAGAGATAAACATTGCTGTAAAAATACAGACTTATGGTACTTGTTCAATATAGGAATGCTAACTTAAAAAGAGCATCTGAATGAAAGCAAACATGCTGCATTGATAAACGGTATTGCAGAAGTTTTTAGATTTTATTTGCAGATAAGGAGAAATGCTAATGGAAAGAGTGCTTCATATTGATAGTAATATGAGCAGTAAAGTTTTTTAAAAAAAAAGTCAACTAAAAGATGTACATCCATAAAATCGGGAGAATTTTTGCAAATCATGCTTTCTTATAGCAGAAATATTAAATAAAAGTTAATGTCTTCTGAAGGCTAGATAAGTACACATTTTATTATCTGTACTAAATATTCTTTAGATAATCTGAATTCTTTGGATTGGAATAAAAGAATGCCAAGTACATGATAAAACATAAATAGTGACATTCACAAGTTTTCAGTTTAGATGTGTAAAATATGATTCTGAAGCCTCTTCTGATACTTACAGTAGTTTGCAATAACAGTAAGAAATAGCAACTTATTAGAAAATGATTGGAGGTGTGGCTGAGAATGTCATTTACGGTGCCTAAAACTTTTTAACTAGTGTAGTTATAAGCAGGACTTTGCATAATTTTGAGCCCATTACAAAAGCACCTTCTTTGCCAGATTCATTTACCGAGCATGAGGACATCACAGACAAGGATTAGAAAGCAGAAGAGATTTGGAATCTCTAAAACAGTTACACTGATGATGAGATTTTGTTTTGAACAGTAGTAGCAGTAAGTTTTTTCTTAGAATGAATCAACTGCAAGTAATTTTGTAAAAATGAACCATGTTAAAATTATCTGTAGAAGAAGAAAGAATATTAAAAACCATTTAAAACCTGTTAGGATTTTCTGGTGTATATCCTCAAATGGTATAAATTGGCATGCATAAAGTTAAGTCACCGCTGCTTACTGAAGATTTATCCTTTTTATTAACTATATAATACAATACAGATCCTGAAATAGTCCCTTACTTAATACTTGTATTCATTTTACAGTAGAGTAGTTATGGAATAAGGTCTTACTCATCATGAGAAATAATAGAATTCTAACAATGGCATATTATTGTTAGAGGGAAGTACATCAAACTGACTTGAATTAGCATAGTTTTAGAAAATTACTTTGGTTTTTAGAGTACTGTATTGATATCGCTTGTTAAGTTACAAAACTACTGCTTGTTTAATAGTACTACTAATCTAAAATGTAGAGTTGTAGTTTGAGGATAAAATTATTTTTACACTCAAGTTCACGTATTTTTGATTTGCAATTTTTGGGTGATAATGTCTCAGTTAAAACAACCAATTAAATCATCCTTCTTTTTAATATATGATGAACAGTGAGGAGAGCATAGCTAGAAATACTAACAAAACAGGAAAAAAATTTCAGCAAAGTGTACCCATAGGGAAACACTTGCAAGAGGAGAATAAAGATTAGTGAATATTGCTACAATGAGATGTGAAAACATACTTAATCTATAAAGTCCTGCAGGAAATAACAATGAAAAATTAGGACTTTCTGTTCATAAACACAGCTTAGGTACCTGTGGTCTTGAGAGGTGCAGCACCACTGCAAATTCCCTGAAATGGTCTTTGATCGCATCACAAACAAATCTGGCTAAAACATAAATAGAACTATCCCATGCTCTATAAGGAACATAAGGTGAGGGAAACATAATTTATCAAACAGCGACCCTCCTTGCAGATCCTGCAACTCACATGGCTGGCAGACACAGAAATAATTTCACAAATGAAAATGGAAGATGAATAATCCATGAAGATTGTGTTGAAGGTTTGTTTCATGGAATTTCTCTAGGATCTCTACAATTTTTATATCTATATATACGTTATATATATGTATATTGTACATACATATATTGGAAATTATATGAAAATAAATGTGGGAAAAGCTGTGAAGGAAGAATTTGAGATACATGCAAGAAATGTTTCTAAAGAGCTACAGGAGGATATTTCTGTGTAGTACCTAGAACAACTGGAAGAAGTAATGCAAATTAATTCAGTCCTGGATCTGATAGTAATCAGAAAAATAAAAAGATACTAGATCTAAAATGAAGACCTTATGAACGTACAATACTTCTGGTTTAATAAAGAGACCAGAAAAAGGGTAAATGTTGTGAAAATCACTGACAGAAATGCAAAGAGTTTGAAGAGTAATAGCAGAAAGCTGGTTCAGCTTTCTGAGAGAGACATTGCAAGAGACTAAGAGCACGATTCCGCTGTAAATAAATGTTTAGTGAAGTATGAAGTAGGAAAAAAGAAAACGGAACTGGAAATGGGAACTTCAAGCCTGCCATCGTGCAAAGATCAAACAGAAAGAAAGCTTGGACCACATGATGCTATCTGAGAAAGCCTAATTATCTGCTTAGTTAGTATATTTTTGCTAGTATAATCTGAAAATATGTGAAGCTTTTAAAGAAAACAGATTTCCTTCAAATTTCCTCAACTTTTAATTTTTCTCTTTGTTTCCAATAGAGTAATACTGAATAAAAGGAAATCAGAGACCACTGTCTACAAACCATTTGTTTGAAAAGATAGTTGAAGAGACAGCAAACAAAAATGGTAATTGAAAATACAGATAAGTGTCTGAAAATACGAAGGGACCCAGATTCTGTACCCCTGCTCTGCCCGCTGGAGGTAGCACAAGGTAGCCAAGATTCCTCCTCACAGGCTGAGAATTGGCCTGTCATGGGGAGGTCACAGTCAGCCTAAGGCTGGTCTGTCCCTCTCCCACGCCAGCAGCTCTCATCCTGCACTTAGGTCTGGTGATGGGACCACAAGAAGGTACGCCTACTCTCCACCGCTTTTCAACCGCATTTAATTTCTTAGATGACATCTGGACTCGAAAACAAAATGCACCACAGCCCAGTCAAGAGTTGGTAGCAAATTACAGCTCACAGTTGCGTGGCTGACCCATCTGCTGTCCCGAAGCAGGGCAGCCTCAGTCATACTGCCTACCAAGAGCAGTCCCTAACCCATGCTCTTCCCCAGATCTTCCTGTGCTTGTTTTGGCCTGGGCCAAAAGTGTACCAAAGAGCTAGCAATTAACATGGATTATCAGGTGGTAGAACCCCAGCGTGCGCCTGGGCCCTGTTTAGCTCCGTAACACAGGGGTAACCTTATGAATTACATGCAGTTGGAAGTAATTAGAACTATACTTGCCTGCTGAAAGTGAAAATCGCAATGGCACGCTAACAAATAATCTATAGGTATCTTTCAGACTACTGTTTCTTGAACAGAAATGTCAGTGAATGTGTAAGTTTGGATATAATGTGTGACTTAATTAAAAAGAAAGCAAGCATAGAAAGTCTGAAAAATCAGTCAGAGGAGGACAATAAATGGCAAAACTTACCTAATGTGAAGTATTTTTAAAGAGGAATTGGAAAGGCAGTTAGATGAGTGAATATTCTTTTAAAAATAAGCAAGATTACAGTAAAAAAGTCAGTATGTGACCATTTGGGTAAGTCGATTTTAGTTCATTATTAAAATGCAGTTTGGGTCCCACCTATGTGGACCTCGTTATAGGATAAAAGCCTGAAATATAATGCATTTGTTTATGGTGTTCTATTCTGAGACTTTGGAGAAGGACCTGATGCTGAAGTGGGCACGCTTCAATATAAAATAGTGACTTCATCACGCACATGATGGGATAAGTGCTTTACTGAATATTTATACAGATTTCAAAAAGGGATATGCAATAATATCTTGGGATTAACATAATCTCTGTATTACTTGGACAGGTTTCCAGCATGCGATGTAATTACTATTAGGTTCCAGGTCATATTTTGACCTAGTGAGATCACCAGTTATTTTCACAATCATCTCTGATTTTACAGGTTGTAGAAAACTCTATGCAGGAAACACAAAAAAGGGGAAATAAAATTACATTCATAGACTACTTTGTAACCTGGGGTTAACTGCTTAAGGTTGAGGACAGAAAATAAAAAGGGAAGGGAAAATGTGGCAAGTGGGACAATGTTGGAACACAGTGCGTTAGCATTCAGTTGAATATTGTCATTGAAGTTATTCAGAGATAAAGAGAGGAAATAAACTGTTCAAATAAAACCTATATGCAGATTCTGAAAGATGGGCAGCTCCTCTGGTGAGTGCTGAGGACATAAAGGACATCTATGAAATAAATAAATTGGACAGAATTTTTAGGATGCTGTAGGCCAAAGGAATTATAGAATCATAGATTCTGTGATTCTATGAAAATGGCCTGAAGTTGAGAAGGAAGGTTGAGAGGTAGGTGTTTGGAAACAATTCTTAATAGGAAATGATTCTTAATGGAACACTGGGAAGCAAATAGATCATCATAACAACTATTCAGCAATAAATTTGCCTACAGATGAGGCATTTGGAGAAGCATTCCTGCAGAAATGCAGGCAGCTTTTCTGGAGGAACCAACTGGCTATTCTGGCTTTGCTCTATTGCCATCAACTGTATGTGCAACATAGTGGGGAACTATGTTGGGAAAAATCAATTCTATAGTATGAATGTACAGTTCTGTACCTTTGGCTTGCTTTGGCTTCAGTAGAGTTATGTTCTGGCAAATGATAGAAATGACATTAAAAAAAGCAAGAGAATATCAATGAAAA